GCATATTAAAAAAAACCTGATAGATTCGTTCCTACTTTATCTTGTGACCAAGTAAATGGTTAAGTAATAACAAAAATCAGGTTTGCAGATATATCGTATATTAAACAGTAAGTACACCAGATTATTATTACAAGACGAGTGAGAGTGTATCAAATAAACTAGCGCTTAATCTGATCACAGTTCATTGTTATATTTAACAGCCACCTCCACAAGCGGTATGTATGTGGCACAAGGCTGAGTTTACCGTGGGTTCTCCGGGACCGTAGGCTCGGCCAAAAATATTCCCGTAGAAATGAATTTAAGTGTGCTATAAATTGGCATCTAAGTCTTGTTAAATGCAAAGACTATTTCTAATCCAAAAGTTTCTTTTCTCGTACTTCCCGTCTGTGGAAATTCCTTGCTTACTTCCCTGATATCTACAATCTTCAAAAATTTAAATGCACTATCAATCGCCATCTTCTGTCTTCTTGAATCCCGTTCATCTTTTATCCTTTCCTCAATCCTCCCTATTCTGTCTTCTCTTTCACTTTCACTCCCTGTAACCCCCTGCGTACTAGTGGCATTCTCGCTTTGTATGGGGGTGAAATGACAAAAAAATATATATATATATATATATATATATATGTAATTGAAAGCATAAAGTTCTGTACAAAATATTTCGATTTCGGCGTTAAATAACCCATAGAGGTTACCCATGCCGTTAAAAGAATAGGATCCATCCTGTACATTTACAAATCTAGCATTTGTCCATGCATTGAATACTGTTGCCATATCTGGTCCGGTGTTTTTGCTGTATATCTCGAGATTCTTGGCAATTAGGTCCCATCCGTTTACCCGTCCTGGGTAAGATATTAAACTACATCCGCGTCCTGGGAAAGACGTTAAACTACGTCCAGCAGCAAGGCCTCTGATCAGGAGGTTTTGAGGAGCGTAAAACCACATCTTATTTGCTGGTGTTCCCAGGTCCACCCTGACCCGGGGTGGTAGCACCTGTTAGGATCCCAGCTATGGGCATATAGTTAACTATTACCAACAATATTTTTTGAAAGGAATATTACCAGCAATAAAATTTTGAAAGAAATATATTACCAGAAACAGATTTTTGACAAAACAAAATATTACCAGCAATAAAAAATTTTGTCGGCATTAAATAATCCATTGAGGTTGATATGCCGTAAAACAAAATAAACCAAACCAATCTAAACCAAAGAATACATATTCTATTCATACGAATCTATCCTAAACATGTTGTCGGCATTAAATAACCCATTGAGGTTGATATGCGTAAAACAAAATAAACCAAACCAATGTAAACCAAAGAATACATATTCTATTCATACGAATCTATCCTAAAAAATGTTGTCGGCATTAAATAACCCATTGAGGTTGATATGCCGTAAAACAAAAATAAACCAAACCAATCTAAACCAAAGAATACATATTCTATTCATACGAATCTATCCTAAAAATGTTGTCGGCATTAAATAACCCATTGAGGTTGATATGCCGTAAAACAAAATAAACCAAACCAATCTAAACCAAAGAATACATACTCTATTCATACGAATCTATCCTAAAAATGTTGTCGGCATTAAATAACCCATTGAGGTTGATATGCCGTAAAACAAAATAAGCCCAACCAAACCCATTTACTGTTGAAATAATTAAATACAACTGCCACTTCTACTCTAACAATTTCTTTTCTCGCACTTCCCGTTTGTGTAAATCACTTCCGTTTACTTGTTTTCCTTGATAAATACAATGTTTAAATTTTAAAAACAACGTCAATCGCCATCTTCTGTCTTCTCGAATTCCGTTCATTTTTTGTCCTTTCCTCAGTTCTCCCTATACTAAGTATTTTCTCTCACTTTCACTCACTGTAACCCCGTGCGTATTAGTGGCATTCCTATCTTGCTTGGGGTGAAATGATTAAAAAATAAATAAAATTAAAATAATATAGATATAATATTGTCATACAGAAAGAAAATGAATAACTACCGACACCGAGGTTCGAGCGTGACACTCTGGAATTGTGAATATATGTTTTTTCTTCCAGGTGTATAAATAGCGGTGTCAGCCTACTGACTGTTGTGATTACTGGGTGGAACTATCCAGTCGAATTAGTGTGAATTATTGTGTGTCGATGTTTTGGGTTTTGATTTAGGATTTAACAGACGTTAAACCGAGCTGCCCTAATAAAAAGATATTAACTGAAATGGTTAATTATCTTTGGTTAACTTTTACATCTTTGTTCATGTTAAGTATTTATTTGTGGTTGTAATTAAATATTGTTTTATTTTAACATTGAAGTCTTGAGTTATACTTAATTATTAACGGCCACTGTACGTCACAAAATTAATTTGTTTAATTGTAATAAGTGTCAGGCTAGTGACTGTAGTGATTGTTGAGTGACTATTGAGCGGAACTATCCAGTCGAATTAGTGTGAATCTGCTCTTATTAAGTGTTTATTTGCGGTTGTAATTAAATACTGTTTTATTTTAAGCCTTGAGTTATACATAATTATTAAGAGCCACCATAGGTCACAAGAAATATAAAAGTAATGATTATATGCAAAAGGCCGAACAGACACTTGCTGCCACTTGACCTTTGACCTAACTTGTACGAAATGTCTGCTACTGAACGATAATCGCATAAACACTTTTCGAAAGTCAGTTTATTCCACGTCACATCAAATGATATGTTTCACCGGTTCACGTCAATTTGTAGGAGTTCTTGACAAACTTCAAACATCTTTCAATCCTTTAAGATTGGCATATTGATGGCTAAGGTTAGGGTTGGTGATGATGTGCGTGGATGGTACGGGTGGGTGATGGGTTGGGTATGCGCTAGGAGTATGCATTAGGGTGGATGGATGAAACGTTCCACTGGAACAAACAGAAAAAATCCAGAACACGAGAATAAAAAAAAGGAAAAAAATCTAAAAGTATATTGGAATATATATATATATATGTGTGTGTGTGTGTGTGTGTGTGTGTGTGTGTGTATGTGTGTGTAAGTCTCTGTGTGTGAATATTCTCAGATGTAGCATATCAGTAGATATTTTCGATTAATATATGAGAGTGTGTGTATATATGTATGTATGTGTGTCGATATATATAGAGACAGATGTAAACAGAGAATGAGATAGATACATAGATATATGTGAAGAGAGAATATGGCATATATATATATATATATATATATATATATATATATATATATATATATATGAAAAGTGTATAAAATATAAATAAATATATATATGTATAATTATTTATATATATATGCGCGGTACTTATTAGAAAGCGCTCAATATCAGAGA